GAGGTCCTTTTCCTCCAACCTCCGCCAGTACCTCGAAGGGAGTTCGGACTTATGTTTCTGGACAGTAGCACAAAGTATGGAGACGGAACGACGGAAGGCTGACACCTCGACAGCACACTCCAGCTCCAACGTCTGCCTACCCTTAGGAAAGTTCATTTACGCCTGCATACTGCACTGCCGTTCAGCGCACTTCTTTTTTTCAGTTTATTTCAGCAGTACCCACTCAAAGCTTGTAAAATGGGGAATTGCATCCACCTGCCTTCACGCAGCCATTACAAAAAGCTGCCAGCATAGACTGCCGGTCAGCTTTGATCACCAGGTAGCTCGCTTGACGAGTGCCGGTTAGCCGAAGAGCTTAGTGACGAGTGTGTGTGAAAGGCTCCTACAGAAAATTAAACGAGAGGGCGTTGACAAATTTCGTGAAAAGACAGACGAGATGCCAGTGCAGGTGATACCATATTTGCACCAAAATGCCCTACAATTTAAAGAAAGATGGCTGTTAGACACAGGGTTAACGTGTGTTCTCAGCCCTGTGCAAACTTTCAAAGATATTTTCCGCAATGTCGAAATGAAACTTCGTAGCGTGCTGAAGAAACCATGTAACAAGATACACCGAATGCGTGACGAAGTTGGTTTATGAGATTCCGTTTAGTTGCGGCCAAGTTTACATCGGTCAAACCGGCCGATGCTTTGATGAAAGAGCGCGGGTGGGCATCTTGCGGAGCACTGCAAACGTTGTGGGTGCGAATCTTTGTTAGAGCACACAAGGTTTATTAAGAAAGAGAACGAGAAGATGGAAAGAGAATTGATCGAATCTTTCTGTGTACACAAAGCGGCTGACAGATGCGTAAGCATGCCATCTCTTTATCTACTAAACAAATACCTTATGTTTTTTGAGGGCTGTGTGTAACGAGCGATAGGAACCTTGATCAGTTGCATGTGTTTATGCGAATGGGGTCGACAGTTTGATGATAATTCGTGTTCCATTAAATTCGTTGGAAGTTCTCGCCTGTCCGTGTCGTACGTGTGTCTTTTTTCTTCCTGTTTTGTTCGAGCCTTTTAACCTTTTAATCGATATGTACCAACTAGCCCAAACCAAAGAGTTATATTAAAAAAAATTTCACGGCAGTAAGGCAGCTTAAAAGCGAGCTAGAAGTTGGCAGTATTTCATTGCATCAGGCAGTCAAGTCAGGAAAGTTTGCGATTCTGCCTGAGCTCATGTTTAAAGAGAAATATAGAGCAGTGGTTGGGGCTTGTTTCAAACATTCAAAGTTCATCTCAAGCAGAAAAAAGGAATGTGTTGTAAATACTCAATGAGTATAAGATAAAAAGGCCGCAAAAAAGGTTGGAGAGATCAGGAGAGATTCCTTATCTGCAAAGTTCTTTCTAAAAAACCACAAGCCACTCAGGGTGGTTGTAAATGAAAATGGCACTTGACAGAAGGTTGTATCGATATTCTTCCAAAGCTGCCTACCGTCTATCGAGATGACCAGAGCAATCGTACTCAGAAAATCGATAGAATTGTTAAGCAGTTTAACGTCTTTCTACCTAAAAGGTGCGTTTTAATGTCACTTGACATTGAAGACCCATATTTTTGTTCTCCGTCAATCATTACTACTCTCGAGGGTAAGGGACTCGTTAGAGGCAAATATGGTTCGGTTTAGTCGCGGTCTGGCAAAGACGTAGGTTGTTTCTTGAACCAAGCAGAACTTTATCTGAGATCCACAGCGGTCGAATTTGATTTGTGCAAATTCGCTTGAAAAGAAGGAAACTGCATCGGTCCGTCCCTGGCACCGGTGTTGTCCGAGGTATATTTGGCTTCGTTGGACATGGCCTTGGGGCAAGCGGTACACTCGTAACCAAAAGGGTCTGTTTTGATGAAGAGATACGTTGGGGACATTTTATGCTCGGTTGTGAAAGTGGCTCTACACATTATTAAAGAAGTAATAGTACAGGCGGCGCCGGAGTTGACGGTTTTTTAGCAGTGAGGAGCCTGATGAAGGTGAGCTGCAGTATTTCGATCCTCGGTTGAAAACACTTGACGGGTTGGGCTGTGAATTGGCAAGCTCGCGGCAAAGTCCTTGTTGCCATGCAAAAGTTGTCATTCGAAATTTGCCAAATGAAGTGTTGCGATGTCTTTGCTTGACAACGCTCTAAGAAAGTCTTGTAGGCACAAAGTAGAGGAAGCGGTTAGGAGGCAATTGATATGCGTAAAGAAGGCGGGACATGGGAGTAAAATTGTGAAGGGGGTCACAAGGAAGTGCTTGAAAGATTCGGAGAAGTAGTGAGAAAAGAGAAAAAGAAATTAGACAGGGTCGTGAGCATTTCATTTTTTTCAAAATTTTTCGCAACCTGTTGGCGGTGGCCGGGCGGTTCCAGCTTGGGGTAGTTTTCTCCTGCGACTTTAAGTTAAGCATGCTTACGCCGTTTCTGGGTGGACCACAGGGTTGTCAAAAAACGGCATAGGGAAACCGCCGTTGATTGCCAGGTTGGAGTAGTGTAGGCTATCCCAATGTCCTGTGGGTTTTTGTACCGGGTAAAGACGAAAACGCGCCTAAATGACAGATTTCTTGAGCACGTGAGGGCGGTCAAGAGCAGATCTCCGAATACTGAGATCGGTAAACATGTGCAGGAATGCAATCATTGTTTGCCTGATTGGAGGGAAACTGTGGTGTTGAGCAAAGAAGATTATGGAAAAATAGTCTCGAAGGAGACAATCAGAGTTTCGTCCGACGGAAATTGTATCATTCAACCGTCGATAGCACTGTACTCCGCGACAACTTTTCTTGGCAATGCAGTGGAAGGTACAGGCCCGCGTTCCCTCTCCCATTTTGAGTGTACGCAGGCTCTCCTCCTCTCCCCATTTCCGCGAGAGGAGGAGAGCCCGCGCACACTCAAAATGGGAAAGGGGACGCGGGCCTGTGCCTTCCACTGCATTGCCAAGAAAAGTTGTCGCGGAGTATAGATGATGCGCCATGAAAGGTTTTGCGGTTGTAATAGCTTTGTTTGTTGTTGTTTTTAGTGATGGGTTGTTTGCTTTATGAGGCGGAAGTATGGGGGACCTGTGAGCAAACGTACGAGGGTGCGCGTTGGGGTAGTTGCGTTGCTTTAAAGTGGTCTGTAACATTGCTTTGTACGAGAAGAGGTCTCTTCCGCAGTTGAAGGTCACAAAGACGTATGTCTTCCTTTTGTCCGGGACATGAGGTCGTTCTTTGAATTGAGGTCACGACGCGTCGTATTGTGGTGGAAGACCACAAAACCCTGCGCGAATTCCGGGAGACGTGTCTTTCTGAGAGATGGTATATAAACGGTTTTGTCGACAAAGTTTAGTAGCTGCGTTTGAGACGTTTCGGGTTTGTGCCCTTCTTGGTCCGTTGTCTTCTTTTGTTTTTTTCCAAATACGTGTAAAAGTTAAGTATGTTTGAAAAGCAGTTGCTGCTGCGTTATAAAAGGGACTAAATAATTTAACACTTAGTCCATCTTGCATTGAAGCAGCAAACGCTTGGATTCAACAAAGTCGTGCGACGGTAATAATATATAAATCAAAAAGTAAAATTAGACTCTCTTTTCTAGCTACAAATAAATAGAATTTGTAGTCATAGTGTGTTGTCATTATTATCTTCATAGTTAAATTTAAAAAAAAAAGTATCTTGAAAGTAACTAAGTTAATATGAGGAAGTAACTGTAACGTATCACTTTTATTTTTAAGTTTCTGTAACTCTAACTTGAATACATTTATGAGAAACTATAACTGTAACTAATCACAGTTTAAAAGTAACTTGCGCCAGACTGCATTTTTTGTGTATATAATAAAGTTGTAAATTTGCTTGATGCCTCAAAATGGAATAGACTTCATTTACTCATGATTCAAAAGAACTATAAGTTCTTTTGAATTCTGGATCTCGTCATTTCTAAAACAAATGACGCGATCCAGCTGAGATCTACATGCAGACCAACAACATATGCGTCTTTATTATGTCTGGCCCCACGCTGCGCTTCGTTCTCTCCCCCCCCCCCCCCCCCCCCCCTCACATGCAGGAACTGTCTTACTGAATTTCCAACCTTTTCTACCGGAAAACCCAGTGTAACTTTTCGCCATCTGGAATATGGAATCGGAAATATATCTGGATTCCATCTGGATGTCAGGTTCTCAGGAATTATTTCTTAGTCTGCATTCTGAATTGGGGGTGTCCAGAAACAATTCCAATTAGATTTCCAGTTCTATAATCCAGATAGTGAAAAGTTACTTTGGGTTTTTCGGTAGGGTTTTAAACAATCATCCAGTTATCATTGCCGCAATCAATCAAAGCGTTCTATTCCAAAGTAATGGAAGAAAACACGAATAGATAATTGTGTAGCATAAAAAAGCTCGCTTTGGTGTCCAATGGAATAATACGGCCTCCCCTGTTGGGCAGTGCATATATTTGTTATTTTTGTTCGCTGTATGTAAATATAGGGTTGAGCATGCACCGAATCTCGTGGTAAGGGGACGGGAGGTGGCTGGTGCTTTATCGAACATTTTGATTGCCTTTGGGACTGCATCCGGGTAGCTGTATTTTCGCCTCAATTAAATCATTACGGTTAAATATTAGGCGCGTGTCGTTTCTAAACAAACAAAACCGGTTATCCTGGTGAATGCAAGGCGCCTGCATTGCGGATTCGCAAGAGTAAGTTTTTCGAAAGGCATGGTTTGTTTCATTACTTTGTAATGTAACGCTTTGTTCGATTGCAGCGACGATAACAGGATGATTGTTTAAAACCCTACCCCACGCCGTCATTCCACTGTCAGGACAATCACCCTCATGTGTCGATAGAATGAGGCAGATAACAAGAAACACCGAAAAACAGAACAAATAAACTAAATGGGTCACAGGTGCCAAAGACTATACCGGAGTTTTATTGCGTCTCCGAGCGACGCGATTATTTCAGATATAACGTCGACAAAGGAAGCTGACAGTGCGCTCTCCGTGGGGTAACTGAACGACAGAGACGAGGCAGAGTGCTGGCGCAGGCACGGCACCTGCATCCGTTCACTGGGCCTTCCCAGCGCTCATCAGTCACAAGCGACGAGAGCCGCGACTGTACAAAAAGGCCGGTCGCGCCCACCTGTGTGACATTCGGGGCGAAGATGGTCGCGGCGCTGAGGTCGGCGGTTCTCCTCGCGGCCCTGCTCGGGGCATCTGAGGGTCATCGAGGCTGTTCGGGTTGTTCTTCGGCCGCCGAGCCGTCGCCGTCTGTCCTGGGCAACTACTCCCAGTGGGCCGTTGCCACCGACGCCGCCCCCTGCGCCAATGTTTCCAGGTAAAGACACACGTCGCTTACAAACCAGTCCTCTTTCGCCAGGCACTGCGCTTGCGCACAAACGAGCATCTACGCATGCGCGGCCGTGGAACATGTTCGCACTTACCCGCAACTGCCAAACAAATCCCCGGAGATCGTCCACCCCGTTTTTTAGGCCGAGTACCTATAAAATAAAAAAATCCGAAACATCGCCCACCCCCAACGCACGCCGGATGTCCAACACGCGGTGTCCGACGGGAACCAGATCAACCGCACCATCTACGGTGCCGATCCGTGTCGGTGCAACAAGCGTCTTGGCAGAGTGTTTCCTCGTGTTTGTCTTACCATGACACGCGTACATGCTGCCCGCGATCCACGGTGTCAGTCCTCGTGATATGCCAATTCCTAGCTGGTTCTCGATTTTTCTTGTCCGCGACCTGCGCGCGATATCGGTTCCCGTCATACGCGACTTTGTCGCGGTTTTCCGCGTGTTTCTTGAACCGAGAATTGTGAATCCTCCGCGTCCGAAATCTGAGGTGTCCGTTTCGGTGACAGACGAGTTCGTAGAGGGTTCCCGCCTTTTTTTTCGCCATCTGCGCGTGCTCTATCAGTCACTTTGTCGTCCGAGTTTGCAATGGGCTCTCGCGTATTTATCGCACCTCCAAGCCGCGCTCACACACTTTCGTGCACCACGTTGGGCTGCGTTGCCTCGTGCAGCACAGCGGTTCCCCATTGCCTTGTCGGAAGAGTCGCCATTGCAGCAGCTCGACACAACCAGTCTTAGCGCAGTCAAACGCAGTCAAACGCAGTCAGACGATGCCGTCTAAAACAACATTAAGGCGCGAGCCTGCTGCGTTCGCGTTCTGCGGTAATAGTTCCAGTGACAGGAGAGTTCACAGCGAGTTCCGGCGCGTTGATCACACGTCATAACCCGAATCGGCCGTGTCCGCCATTTGCGGTGTCAGCTCACGTTTCAAGTGGCTTGTAGCACTAATCTTACAGCGAAGCTGTTTATGGCCAGTGTTAGGTGGATTTCTCGTGTGCGTGACCAAAACCTCTACGCTCACACCGCCGCACGCGCCGTACGCGAAAGCCTTCCCTGAATAAAAGGCTCGAAGTAAATGACAAAAATAAAGCGTGGGCGAACGCGCGTGCAAGATGCCATTTGTTTCAGGCTTTTGCTTTAGAACAGTTACTGTTGCAGACGCCGGCACGTGCGGCGCGTGGTACACCATTCCCTGCATTGTCCTCACAGCTTGAATAATTTAACAGTAGGTCTATTCAGTAGATTAGTTATCAGTGGGCACCCTTTTATAAATCACTAGACTCTCAGGTCGATAATAAAAGTTTCTGAAAGATTTGCCGCTCTGCGACTCGTGTCGGCCATGTCTACGCTCGCACCGCCCTCTCTTGGTCGTTGTTCGAAGCGCTTGCGGGTTCCCAGGCAGCACAAAACGTCGTGGAAACGTCGAGAAAAAGTCCCGGACGTCCGTGACGTACCGCATGACTTCAATCACGTATTTTCGATGTTGAGGTGACGTCCTTATATAACGTTCCATTAGAGTCCAATCAGTGACGTTGTGACGACGTTGTATTTCAACTCAAACGTCGTCAACGTTCCCACGACGTCGATGCACGACGTTCTCACAACGTCCAACGCTCACGTTTCTTTGACGTTGAACTGAAGTTCATAAATGACGTTCCATTATCGTCCTGTCCGTGACGTGCTGGCGACGTCACGTTTCAACTTTAACGTCGTCATCGTCGCCACGGCGTCAAGACAAGACGTTTTAGCAACGTCAAACACTCACGTGTCTTCAAAGTTAAAATAAAGTCCATGGTGACGTTACATTATTGTTTCGTCAGTGACGTTTCTGCGACGTCGCGTTCACACCTAAATGTCGTAAACGTCATACAAGACGTGCTGGCAACGTCGACCACTCACGTTTTGTTCGTCGTTTTTAGATTTTCCAGCTCAATCTCCAGCCGCAGAATCACTGTGGTCAAGGTGACAGTGCTCAAGAGCCGCAAACAAAACTTATTTTTTGAGAGGTTGAGAAGTTTAATTATTTATACATTAATTTGCGTATTTCAAAAAGCTATTAATTGCACATCGATGACGCTAAAGAGGGTATTTACAAAACTCAATGTACACGGAAGAAAAAAAATATGAAAGCATGTTGGGAATATCATACCTTTTAGGATGTGCTTGTTATAGTTTTGGTTTGTTTAAAATATTGTTACGGGTTTAATTTGCGAAGCCCATAACGTCTACAACGGATCGAATTGTACCATTCTTGCATTTTGCACGCGCGTTGTCGTCTTCCATGGGTCCTGGGCCCTGGCACGCGCCTCAGGGGCGCCGCCACACTATCTCCTCTCCAGGTGATTTCAGGTCTGCACCCTTTCCTAGGAGCATCTACACTGCTCCGCGACCACCCGAGATTGTTTTAACGTTCGTCAATTTCTCTTCGTATTTTGTAACCCATGCTCACCTGCGCTCAACCAAAAAATTCGCATCAACATCTCAGTTCATCCATAACACCAACTTCCAGCGCCTTAGCGCTTTCGGTAGATCGGGGCGCAAAGTCTTGTCACGTGACTGTCAGTACAGATCTGGCTTTCGTTGCCACTGGTGACGTACCCAAACGAAAATCGCATGCCAGCACACACTATATCAGAGCACAACTTCACTGCACACTTGCGCATTTTTGGAGTTGACTCAAAAAAAAAAAAATAAAATGCCCGGCAATGACGAAATCCGGTAGATACTGCAGTGTCAGCGGTTTGTGGAAATTGACATTCATGATGCCAACCCCTGAATGGCCCAGATGGCAGTCCAAAAAGCGGTCAAGCCCAGTCCGCACTTACGTGCCAAAAAAAAAAGAAAGAAAGAAAAAAAAAAACCAGCCGGCACGGTGCGAGAGAGAGGGGGAAAGGTAGGCAGAGGAGATGGCATCTCCATAGAGCCCCATGCGATGCGTCGGGAAACTCGGCAAGAAGAGGGCGAGAGAGAAAAGTGGGGGACGATTAGCCCCGAGAAGTTCGCCTGGCGCCCCCTTACGGCGAACCGCGGTGACGTCACGGCGAGGAGAGAATTTTTCCCCGACTCGTCCCGCTCGCCCTGTGGACGCTGTGACGACGCTAGCTGTCGGCGCGGTCGTTTCTATTTAATTTTTTTTTTTTGGCGTGCTTTTCGTAGGAAGTGTAAATTTTTATATACGCCTTTATTGAGGTATTGCCTGTAGCTACAGGCGAAACTTCAACGAGCATTTTAAGCATGGCTGACAGGCCAGGCAACGCATGAACCACAGCTGGTATGTGAAAATAAAGAAATATGGCCACAATTGCAGGGGCATCACTACAGATTTACATCTCGCACAATAAACGCTGCTGATGGTCCGAATGAATTGGCAGGTTATGTATACTATTTTTTTTTTTTTTTTGTATCTCTCGTCTTTAAACAAGATCGCCGAAGCAGAAAAGCTGCATGCTGATCGAGCAACGTGCTAAATACAGTCTCGGCCATGGGGAGAGAATCACAAGTAAGACAGCCCAAGTGCAGGGGCAAAGTAAAAAAACACACAAGGAACATTTATTATATACATTGCTCGCACTTGACCTTTGCTGGATTCGGATAGTATTTCAATGAACTACACGGATGGTATCTGTGGACTTGTTTATATCAATTTTCAAGTAATATATAACAAACATAAGTTAGGGTGTCTAGCTCGTTATTAGTCCATTAAGCCCTAAAATTTAGATTTTACTTAAATCCAATTGTCCTGAAGCTAAAGTACCAGAAGCTTTTCTCACGCAGACTGTCGCCCTTCACAGGTTCCACATTTTCTGCTACTAGTGCTGCATCTACCACTGGACAGACGTTCGAATGCTTGCTTTTACTCCTGTTTTCCTCTGTTGTCAGAGAGTCCAGTTGCAGGGAGTTTGGAGGCTGAGGAAGCTTTTGGGGACCTGCGGCAGTGACTCTTAAATGGAAATGACAATTCAGACTAAACGGTGCATTTTCCGAATACCAAAGGCTGGAATAAAGAATGTCAGGAAAAAGTATAAACATCCCAAATTACGGCACTATTGCTGTGCATATTTTGGGCAGTTTACTGCATATCATAGAGCCAACTGGGGGAAATTCGGCCGTTTTTGCTGCTACCATACAAACTAATTTCCAGTAATTGTGAATCCTCTAAGAAATATGCCTGCATAAGCGTATAAACTATATAATTAATTCAGGAAGAAGCTACATTTATGTAAAACAACCCTGTTTCATGAGCACTTCAAAGATCATCAGACGCAGGGCCTTTAAAACATCTGCAAACCAGCGCATGCAGAGTGGAAGCGCAGAGTCGGGGTCGCGAGCTAATTTGCCGACCACCGAAAGGCTCATGATATAAAGGCCGCTTCAGATGCCTTGAAAGCGGGATGTAATATCGTCCTAAATCATGAACATGCAAGGAACAGAATTCCAGCGTCTGAAACACTTGCGTCACCGCTTCACCGACCCCTCTCAAGATTGCCTTGCGTCGTGTGGACGGACGGGGAGGTTCATCGGCGTAATTGCCTCCGCCGATAGTTTTCGGGATTTGTAACCCAATTTTAAAGGTAAAAGGGACAAGCAGGCTTATAAGATGTACGGAAGCACGTTAATATCGGCCTAACTCAACGTCTTGTACACCGGGTAAACGAAGTCCGGCTCCTCGAGGAGCTTGCGGCACACAACGCCAAACCAGGAAACCGGCGCTGGGGAGCGACCCGATGCGAGATCGCGGAGCGGGGTACTCGCCCTGACGTCACGGTACACCTCACCCAATCAGGGCGCGGCGACCGCAGCGACGCTTGTGTTCGCTCTCGGGGCTAATAGCGACGACGAACAATTGACAAGCATAAGTTCCGGGTTTACGTATTTTCTCAGTCGTTCCCAAAATATTTAACTGAATGTTCTGTTCTTCGAATTGGCCCAGAGAGAACAGCTCTGGGACCCGGTCCCGCTTTTTCCGAAAGCCAGT